TTTAATCAAATAAACATTTGTACTCAGGGTAGAAATGATGAAATATTTAACAAAGCCTTTCTATACGACCACAAGAATTTCGACAAATAGACGATATATACTGAATGTGTATATCATATGAACAAACTATAAAAGCCTTTTGTTTACACATATTTTGTGTCTAACAATAAATTCTTTGGCTATAATTAATGTCTAACAGAAGACGATATGAATTATCTCATAAATAAAATATGACACTTTTATGAGTTTGTTTTTTTGTTTTGCCCTTTATGGAATTAGTTATGATTTTCAATTATAATTATAATAAATTTAAATAATTTATTTGCGATAATTAATTAATTTTCTTATATAACGAGTTAACACGAAATTTAACACCACGTTCTCATTAGTGTTTAAAATTTATTATCAAAATCACAATTAATTATAATTTATTGCAAATAAATATTTATTTAAAAATACATTAATAATGTCTTGGACTATAATAAGTAATTATTAATAACCGGGTCTTAACCATCAGTTTTACATATGGTATCAAATGTGTTGAAGTGTTTGACGAAGACTTATATTTAAGATAATAATTACATTATATATGGTATCAAATCCCAGATCTAATCCCAATGAACGTCACTATCTATGGCTACCATTAGATCCAATGGTATAACAAATAGAGAATGTATTTAACCTCAGAAATGAATATCAATTATTATTAATCGGCTCAACATTTATTTGAATAATTATAATATTTTATTTCAATAATAGAGATATATTTTAAATATAATTTAGTACATTTTAATTATTTAATTATATAGATATTCTAATTAAATATATTTATAATAAATAGATATATATAACTAGCACAAAAAAATAATTAGCAATTTTACAAAGATTTATAATAATTATTATATTGGCAAATATTTTGTTGGAATTAATAATTTATATTATAATAAATACATAGAACATAAAAATAAAATCTTATCCATTTATAATTAATTATTAATTATAATAAATACTATTAATTAATTTGTACATAAATCTCACTCTTTAAGTCATGTAATCTCAATATAATTTCTAACTGTTATTCAATTACATGTTTTAAATTAAATTTTATTATTATTACTTCAATTGTACGTGAAATTCAATATAAATAATTTAATACAAAATATTAATGAATTGAGCACCACATCAACAACAGGGTAAACATTATAATAATTTTAATCAAATAAACATTTGTACTCAGGGTAGAAATGATGAAATATTTAACAAAGCCTTTCTATACGACCACAAGAATTTCGACAAATAGACGATATATACTGAATGTGTATATCATATGAACAAACAATTTATAATTCTGTGCCTTAATATCATAATAAAAATACCATGATAATAGTACTACACTATTCCTTAATATATATTTAAATTAGCAAGTAAGTACCATGATCATTCTGTTTTCAAACATAGGTTATGGTGAGTGTATTGGAAGAGCAGACATAATCGTCGCTCTTTGTCGAGCAATTCATATCATTGTTATTGTATTTGTGTTTTTGAATGTCATTATTATTACTATTGTTTATACCGTTTATTATCGACGACTTGTTCAACGAGGCTGAGTGTATGCGAAGGTTTCGACTCTGATTCTTGGCCAGCAGTTCGCAGTCAAACTTTGTGCAACACTTGTGTAGAAGTAGTTTCATGTCATACTGTGTGAGCGGAAATAAACACAATTAAAATTAGTATTAATTATTATTAATCATTTTTGTTTGTTTTATGAGGGTAATTACAAATGGACAATTTTTCGTAACATGGTGATGATTATGTTAATTATATTGAGATTGTAGTGTATATCCGGCACAAGTATCTAATTTGAATTCTTATTTAATCTAGATTCTAATGTAATTTATTTTATTTGGAAAAGGTTATTTGTTTTATTAGGTACACAGTCTACTATTGTAATAATACAAATGCACTATTGTTACCAATTGTGTTATTGTAATATATTTAGCTTACAATTAAATGAATTTAAATAAGATCATTTAAATGTATGAGAGTGTGTATTGATTTTACCTAACAGGTATTAATTTATGTGGGCGAATAAACTCTTCCTTTAGCCAAATAATTTATTAGATTTCAAATAAAATTGCATTTATTGTTTGATTCAAAACTTTTTAATAAAATTACTTGCATTTTATGCATATTTCTATGTCTATTATTATATTGAAATATATTTATTATTAAAAAATAAGCGTGCTAATTTATGCTTATTATAGCGATAATCTGAGTGAGAAGTGGGAGTTTACCAGATTGGTTTTATGTTTTTGTAAAAATATGTTTTAATATGAAATGTTTTATAAATACCCGAAAGTTTTCGCTCATAAATGAATAGATTATTGGATTCATAAAACTGTTAAAAAAAATAGAGATATAAATAACAATTAGTTTTACGTTAACAAACAAAAACGCGTATCATTTACACAATTATTATGTTATATAACATGTATATTAAAATAAAATTAATTAAATTAAAAATTAAAAACAAATTACATAAACGTGATTATAATAAACACATTTAAAGTACATGGGTGTTATATAAGATTATTTTATATAACATAATAGTAATATGTTATACGCAAGTAGATTGCGTAATACAATCACACAAACACGGATCTATGTAATCGTAATAAGAGTTATAGCATCTATAGACATGGGATGACATACCTGTGCGCCATTGAGATCCAGTGGCAGAAGAAATACATGCCTACGAATGTGTAGTATTGAAGGGATGTCTCGGCGTTGAGAATCCATTTGGGATAAAACCATACGAGAAGTCCAAACATTTGTATCGGAAGCCAACAAATGGCAAACATTATCACTACTGTTGACAGCATTTTGATAACCTATAGGTTTGGTGATAGAGAAACCATTATGTAATATATATTAATATAATATTATTAATTATTGATTTTTATTGCAATCATAATTATATTTCGAAATGTGTTTCGGTAAAATAATATCTTAATAAGTCAAATAAAATCATCTACCTACAATAATTATAGTTAATTATACGAGCTAATCCAAGTGATTTACATTACCATGCCCACATTATAAAGTTTTTAAAAATACTAAACATTATATTAAAATTAACAAAAAATTGTAATTTCTAACGAGATTTTTGTTGTAAAAAACTCTATTTTAAATCAAATTTAAATTACAAAAAATTAATATTAGATGCATATGGTAATTATATTTTTAAATTATATATTTAAACATCTGTAAAGGCAAAGTAAACTGTGCCATTTCAAAGTTATAGCTAGTTTAATCATAAATAAGTTTAACATTTATTTTGCCATTTGAGAAATGTCTGCATACTTTTGTTATACTTTTGTTTTTAATAAAAAACTTATTTTATTGTTAAATAAATATTTTATTGCTTTGAATAACAAAGAAAAATCATAATTTTTTCTGAGTTTGAAATATAATAAATGGATATAAAATCACAAAAATACGGAAATATTCAATACATTTATGTTTAATATAAATGTATAGTTTTATAACATAAAGTAGTATTTCGTATGAAATTTAATAAAAAGCTTTTTGAATATGAAATCTTGATTGAAAGCACTTCAAAACGAGGTCTGATTCGTATATTATTTGATATATCATTTATCAGTATATTATTTATGGTTTCCTATTATATAATTAATATTCAAATATTAATTTTAGTATTTAATGTTTATTTTATTTTTACATTTATTTTAATTAATTCTTATTAATTAGATAATTATATTTTTATATTTCTATACACACAACATGTGATTTATATACTATATCTACTGAATTACTATATCTACCAATTTACATTCATTAATTATAATTAACCAAAATGATTTATATATTTAACTATTCTAACATTTATATCAGCTTGGGAATATCTTGTTATATAATTTGATTTTATCAAAACACTATTCAAAAGCATTCAAATGCAGTAATAATATGTTTCTTGGTATATTTATTTATAGATTGAAAATAAATTATTTTTTAAAAAATACAACATTTTTTCAATTGAATTTCTATCTCCAGAGGTGTGACTCCCGGTTCTAACCACTGATAGTTATGGAGTAAACTCACAATTCAAATATTCAGTGCAGGTACACAAAATATAACACAATAAAATCATCACTTTTATACAGTAATAGGCATTCAAACTGCCCTAGGAAAATTGTTTTCTAAAAACATATGGTAAAATAAGATTGTAACAGATATAGCATATAATTCCCATACTGTTTCTCTTCCCTGTATTAAAAATATGTAAATTGTTTTAAATATATTGAGATTCTTGCACAAGAATATAATCATTAATTTTAATGTAGTATTATATTACATGGTTGAATTTTATACTCTCAATACAAGAATAGTTTTTTACTTTTTAAAAAATAATAAAATTGTAATAAAATAATTAATGAAATATAATATAAACTTTTGGTTAATATTTCAATTATAATTTTATTAAAATTTTAAGGATATGTGATATGCGAAAGGAATGGCATGAAAATAGCCGACTGTTTGCCCTTTCATTTAATATATCGTAAATTTATATTTGATTTAAAGCCCAGACTTTTGGTAAATAGTTTAATGGTTTAATATTTTACAGCTAATAGGGCAGCTAGGGCTATTTTAATAGATTTTATGATTACCACGTTTTATTAATCTATTTTTAAACCGAGCCTTTTTGTCAATAGGAAATTTATTTGACATTTTATTTATTAGATATTAATTCAGTTTTTTATGATCAAACTATTAGACCAAAGTTGTAAAGTTAGGCTTTAATAATAAAGTATAATCCATAATAATTTTGACGTTTATATCTAACATTAAAGTGAACGGAAATATCATTTCTAATGTATTTTTAAGTATTTTCACCATAATTTTTGTATTATAAATGTGATTTTAAACGCTCATTTTATATTTAAAAATATGCCTAATTTTCTCATTGAAAATAATAACATTATAAATAATTAATTATAATTTAAAGAATATTTTTAAATAATTCAAATCTTATAATTAGTATTCATTGAATGAAATGTTGTGAAATAATTTTAATGACGAAACATGTAATTATTTAAATTAATTATATTTACAGAAGAATACTAAATTATGAAGTTAGAAATTTATAAATCCGTGATTAATTCTATAGTAATTTTATAAACAAGATAAGTCTGTAATAAAGTATGTTAATAAAATAAAACTAATTATTTAATTATTTATTTTAGAAATTTCCTCATTTTCCAAGAGATTATCAAATGTTATCAAAAGTGAATGTTTTAATTAAGTCATAATTCATACAGATAACTTATAAAATAGACGTTTATATTGAATATTATAATATTATTTTTCAGAACTTAAAAATGACTATCTCTTATATTTCATTGCATTTCAACATAATTTAAAGCCAAAATCAAATTTCATTTTTAAGATTTCCTGACACAAGTCATAATATTTTATTTTTTGAATATTCAAGTAATTATTTCACAAAAAACTTTGTTTAAAATTGTCTGTAAACAGTTTAACCCCTAAATTATAATACTGTTTAAAGGTATGCAATTTCTTTAATTTACTTTTATTACTGTAATTCATTTATTGAGCGTGAGAGAGAGAGAGAGAGAGAGAGAGAGAGAGAGAGA